GAATCCCTGCTCTATACCCTCTTGTAGAATCCCTGCTCTATACCCTCTTGTAGAATCCCTGCTCTATACCCTCTTGTAGAATCCCTGCTCTATACCCTCTTGTAGAATCCCTGCTCTATACCCTCTTGTAGAATCCCTGATCTATACCCTCTTGTAGAATCCCAGCTCTATACCCTCTTGTAGAATCCTAGCACTATACCCTGTTGTAGAATCCCAGCTCTATACCCTCTTGTAGAATCCCAGCTCTATACCCTCTTGTAGAATCCCTGCTCTATACCCTCTTGTAGAATCCCAGCTCTATACCCTCTTGTAGAATCCTAGCACTATACCCTCTTGTAGAATCCCAGCTCTATACCCTCTTGTAGAATCCCAGCTCTATACCCTCTTGTAGAATCCCTGCTCTATACCCTCTTGTAGAATCCCTGCTCTATACCCTCTTGTAGAATCCCTGCTCTATACCCTCTTGTAGAATCCCTGCTCTATACCCTCTTGTAGAATCCCTGCTCTATACCCTCTTGTAGAATCCCTGATCTATACCCTCTTGTAGAATCCCAGCTCTATACCCTCTTGTAGGATCCCAGCTCTATACCCTCTTGTAGAATCCCAGCTATATACCTTCTTGTAGAATCCCAGCACTATACCCTCTTGTAGAATCCCAGCTCTATACCCTCTTGTAGGATCCCAGCTCTATCACCTCTTGTAGAATCCCTGCTCTATACCCTCTTGTAGAATCCCTGCTCTATACCCTCTTGTAGAATCCTAGCACTATACCCTCTTGTAGAATTCCTGCTCTATACCCTCTTGTAGAATCCCTGCTCTATACCCTCTTGTAGAATCCCTGCTCTATACCCTCTTGTAGAATCCTATCTCTATACCCTCTTGTAGAATCCCAGCTCTATACCCTCTTGTAGGATCCCAGCTCTATACCCTGTTGTAGAATCGCAGCTATATACCTTCTTGTAGAATCCCAGCACTATACCCTCTTGTAGAATCCCAGCTCTATACCCTCTTGTAGGATCCAAGCTCTATACCCTCTTGTAGAATCCCTGCTCTATACCCTCTTGTAGAATCCCTGCCCTATACCCTCTTGTAGAATCCCTGCTCTATACCCTCTTGTAGGATCCCAGCTCTATACCCTCTTGTAGAATCCCTGCTCTATACCCTCTTGTAGAATACTAGCTCTATACCCTCTTGTAGAATCCCTGCTCTATACCCTCTTGTAGAATCCCTGCTCTATACCCTCTTGTAGAATCCCAGCTCTATACCCTCTTGTAGAATCCCAGCTCTGTACCCTCTTGTAGAATCCCAGCTCTATACCCTCTTGTAGAATCCCAGCTCTATACCCTCTTGTAGAATCCCAGCTCTATACCCTCTTGTAGAATCCCAGCTCTGTACCCTCTTGTAGAATCCCAGCTCTATACCCTCTTGTAGAATCCCAGCTCTATACCCTCTTGTAGAATCCTAGCACTATACCCTGTTGTAGAATCCCAGCTCTATACCCTCTTGTAGAATCCCAGCTCTATACCCTGTTGTAGAATCCCTGCTCTATACCCTCTTGTAGAATCCAAGCTCTATACCCTCTTGTAGAATCCTAGCACTATACCCTCTTGTAGAATCCCAGCTCTATACCCTCTTGTAGAATCCCAGCTCTATACCCTGTTGTAGAATCCCTGCTCTATACCCTCTTGTAGAATCCCTGCTCTATACCCTCTTGTAGAATCCCTGCTCTATACCCTCTTGTAGAATCCCTGCTCTATACCCTCTTGTAGAATCCCTGCTCTATACCCTCTTGTAGAATCCCTGATCTATACCCTCTTGTAGAATCCCAGCTCTATACCCTCTTGTAGAATCCTAGCACTATACCCTGTTGTAGAATCCCAGCTCTATACCCTCTTGTAGAATCCCAGCTCTATACCCTCTTGTAGAATCCCTGCTCTATACCCTCTTGTAGAATCCCAGCTCTATACCCTCTTGTAGAATCCTAGCACTATACCCTCTTGTAGAATCCCAGCTCTATACCCTCTTGTAGAATCCCAGCTCTATACCCTCTTGTAGAATCCCTGCTCTATACCCTCTTGTAGAATCCCTGCTCTATACCCTCTTGTAGAATCCCTGCTCTATACCCTCTTGTAGAATCCCTGCTCTATACCCTCTTGTAGAATCCCTGCTCTATACCCTCTTGTAGAATCCCTGATCTATACCCTCTTGTAGAATCCCAGCTCTATACCCTCTTGTAGGATCCCAGCTCTATACCCTCTTGTAGAATCCCAGCTATATACCTTCTTGTAGAATCCCAGCACTATACCCTCTTGTAGAATCCCAGCTCTATACCCTCTTGTAGGATCCCAGCTCTATCACCTCTTGTAGAATCCCTGCTCTATACCCTCTTGTAGAATCCCTGCTCTATACCCTCTTGTAGAATCCCTGCTCTATACCCTCTTGTAGAATCCTAGCTCTATACCCTCTTGTAGAATCCCAGCTCTATACCCTGTTGTAGAATCCCAGCTCTATACCCTCTTGTAGAATTCCAGCTCTATGCCCTCTTGTAGGATCCCAGCACTATACCCTCTTGTAGAATCCCAGCTCTATACCCTCTTGTAGAATCCCAGCTCTATACCCTCTTGTAGGATCCCAGCACTATACCCTCTTGTAGAATCCCAGCTCTGTACCCTCTTGTAGAATCCTAGCTCTATACCCTCTTGTAGAATCCCAGCTCTATACCCTCTTGTAGAATCCCAGCTCTATACCCTCTTGTAGAATCCCAGCTCTATACCCTGTTGTCGAATCCCGGCTGTATACCCTCTTGTGGAATCCCAGCTCTATACCCTCTTGTAGAATCCCTGCTCTATACCCTCGTGTAGAATCCCAGCTCTATACCCTGTTGTAGAATCCCAGCTCTATATCATCTTGTAGAATCCCTACTCTATACTCTGTTGTAGAATCCCTGCTCTATACCCTCTTGTAGAATCCCAGCTCTATACCCTGTTGTCGAATCCCAGCTCTATACCCTGTTGTAGAATCCCAGCTCTATATCATCTTGTAGAATCCCTGCTCTATACCCTGTTGTAGAATCCCTGCTCTATACCCTCTTGTAGAATCCCAGCTCTTTACCCTGTTGTCGAATCCAAGCTCTATACCCTCTTGTAGAATCCCAGCTCTATACCCTCTTGTAGAATCCCAGCTCTATATCCTGTTGTCGAATCCCTGCTGTATACCCTCTTGTAGAATCCTAGCTCTATACCCTCTTGTAGAATCCCTGCTCTATACCCTCTTGTAGAATCCCTGCTCTATACCCTCTTGTAGAATCCCTGCTCTATACCCTCTTGTAGAATCCTAGCTCTATACCCTCTTGTAGAATCCCAGCTCTATGCCCTCTTGTAGGATCCCAGCACTATACCCTCTTGTAGAATCCCAGCTCTGTACCCTCTTGTAGAATCCTAGCTCTATACCCTCTTGTAGAATCCCAGCTCTATACCCTCTTGTAGAATCCCAGCTCTATACCCTCTTGTAGAATCCCAGCTCTATACCCTGTTGTAGAATCCCAGCTCTATACCCTCTTGTAGAATCCCAGCTCTATACCCTGTTGTCGAATCCTAGCTCTTTACCCTGTTTTCGAATCCCAGCTCTATACCCTGTTTTCGAATCCCAGCTCTATACCCTGTTTTCGAATCCCAGCTCTATACCCCCTTGGGGAATCCCAGCTCTATACCCTGTTGTAGAATCCCAGCTCTATACCCTCTTGTAGAATCCCAGCTCTATACCCTGTTGTCGAATCCCAGCTCTATACCCTCTTGTAGAATCCCAGCTCTATACCCTGTTGTCGAATCCCAGCTGTATACCCTCTTGTGGAATCCCAGCTCTATACCCTTTTGTAGAATCCCAGCACTATACCCTGTTGTCGAATCCCAGCTCTATACCCTGTTGTAGAATCCCTGCTCTATACCCTCTTGTAGAATCCCAGCTCTATACCCTGTTGTCGAATCCTAGCTCTTTACCCTGTTTTCGAATCCCAGCTCTATACCCTGTTTTCGAATCCCAGCTCTATACCCTGTTTTCGAATCCCAGCTCTATACCCCCTTGGGGAATCCCAGCTCTATACCCTGTTGTAGAATCCCAGCTCTATACCCTCTTGTAGAATCCCAGCTCTATACCCTGTTGTCGAATCCCAGCTCTATACCCTCTTGTAGAATCCCAGCTCTATACCCTGTTGTCGAATCCCAGCTGTATACCCTCTTGTGGAATCCCAGCTCTATACCCTTTTGTAGAATCCCAGCACTATACCCTGTTGTCGAATCCCAGCTCTATACCCTGTTGTAGAATCCCTGCTCTATACCCTCTTGTAGAATCCCAGCTCTATACCCTGTTGTAGAATCCCAGCTCTATACCCTCTTGTAGAATCCCTGCTCTATACCCTCTTGTAGAATCCCTGCTCTATACCCTCTTGTAGAATCCCAGCTCTATACCCTCTTGTAGAATCCCAGCTCTATACCCTCTTGTAGAATCCCAGCTCTGTACCCTCTTGTAGAATCCCTGCTCTATACCCTCTTGTAGGATCCCAGCTCTATACCCTCTTGTAGAATCCCAACTCTATGCCCTCTTGTAGAATCCCAGCTCTATACCCTCTTGTAGAATCCCAGCTCTATACCCTGTTGTCGAATCCCAGCTCTATACCCTGTTGTCGAATCCCAGCTCTATACCCTCTAATAGAATCCCAACTCTATACCCTCTTGGAGAATCCCAGCTCTATACCCTCTTGTAGAATTCCAGCATTATCTCCTACTGTAGAATCTTAGCATTATCTCCTGTTGAAGAATCCATGCATTATCTCAAATTGTAGAATCCCAGCAATATCTCCTTGTAGAACCCACCATTTCCTTCCCCATTTATTTTGTAGGTCACCCGAGTGCAGTATGATCTCATCCAGGTAAATTCCAGATAAATACCTCCTACTTTCCGTATTGTCTCCTATCAAATAGTACCATCATTCCTCAATGTTGTAGAACCCCGATGTGGTTCACCACAAGAAGGTGGACAGTCCCATATCAACGACCACTCTCATGCCCCCTCACGGCGGCACCCGCAGCCCGCACAGCACCTTCATCGACCTTCCCGAAGGTGTAGCGTTTGACGTCCTCAACACTGAACTAATCGACGTCGACGATGCGTACTACATTGTTGTCAGTGACCCTGATGCGATGCGTGAAGAGAAGGAAATACAATTCTACGTAAGGACCTGTTGAGGAAAGATCCTCTTCCCGAGGCATGGGAGTAAATTGATCATAAAAGTTCACCATCCGGTTTCCAAATCTTATATACCTTTCTTTTATCAAGGTGCGCAAGTAATTTGATACGCTTCGCGAGGTAAGACCCATCTTATTACATTAAACATCGATCACATCATCATGACTGGGCGCCGCCATTTTGTTTGAAGCAAATGCAAGTGTTATGAGTGGTGGAATCTGATTGGCCATAAGAGGGACATAGAAGGACCATAAGTCGTAATAGCCACCGGTGGCACTACCATCGAGTCATGAAATTCCAGCCAAGTTCGGCAAGGGGTGGAAACTGCACTTTTACATTCAGTTAACTCCCTTGCCTCGGGAAGACGAGGAACGGTTTACCATAAGATAAATTCATCAGCAAGAAGAACAGTTAAAGCAGAAATAGTCGATATACTGAGGGTAAAATGTTAACAAAGTCGTATATTACAAGATACACTATTCCCCAAGAAATACAGTTATGTTATTTGAGACCAATGTAAAAATGAATGTGTGTTGCAATTTGATTGGTTGAAAACATTGTTAAATGAAATCGCATATTTATCTCCTAATCCAAGGAACATATCACACGCCTGTTAACTTTAGAGGGGAATATAATCCACAGTTCCAGCCGAGGTTGTAATTGTCAAAATTTCGGTCCGCGAGATCTCCCGCGACTCTAAATCCTTAATCACGTGACACAGAACACAGAGATATCGCATCTCGTCTGCCATGTCTCCGAGGCAAAAGTGTCCACAAGCCCATATCATCAAAGCCTTAGGTTGCCACTTCAAACCTCATTTTCTTGGTGCGATCGAAGCCCTATCCCGTATAGAACACGAGTCGTGTCCCTTGTGAGTAAAACGCAATATGCAATTAGATCCTGTTTTTATTGGGGGTTGCTTCACCAAGATGACTAAAATGGCAGGCGACCTGGTCGTTAAGGTGACGAAAAGATTCGAAATTTCATCCCTGGCAGACAAACAAAATCACAGTGAAGATACTTATTTCTGCGCATTTCGCTCTTACAATAATAGAGGTTTAACGCCGCACAGTCAATAAAGCATCATGCCGGAGCCCTGGTTTGATTCCCAAAATGTGAACAAAGTGCAAACTCTATTTTTGTGTCACAGTCATGTGTGGGGACAAGGGTGGCCCAGTCGTCTAAGGCGCCGCGATTCGCTGTGCAGAGTTGCGTCCCTTGGGCACGACAGAAACCTATGATTGTGGGTTCGAATCCCGGTTCGCCCCGATTATGTTTCTAGGTTTGTCAGCACCATACCCGTGCTCGTGGGTTCACCGAAGTGGTAAACGTCTGAGACCTGCATCACTTCGGATTTTCCATCCACATTAAGCTGACACGCCGTGATATAACTGTAATACTGTTAAAAGCGGCGTTAAACCCAACTCACTCACTCACAGTCGTGAGTGACTGAGAAGGGCTCAACGCAGCTGGAACCGTGATTTAATTGTATCATGGCCTGACAGCTAAATCTTGAACGCGATGCCGGTCTTCTACATACACCACCTTGAACCACAACTGAAATATTGTAATAGGCGGCTTACAATAAGAGATATGTTAAGTTTTCACATTCGAAACCTCACGCTGTCGCGTTCCGTTTCGAATGCAATTTACAGGTTTCCAATCTTCGAAACCTCAAAATTGACAAAAATAACGTACACCGTTTCTATTCCATGACACAATGACAAAAGAAATGCGAACTCCTTGGTTATCGCCGAAACGATTAGTAAGGTATAATCGGTTAAGCCTAATGGGTTTTTTTCAATAGGTTGAAAGGGCTAATTCAGTGATTAGTGAGGATCGGTTTTAATCTGTATACATGTTTGCTTCACGGACCCAACCTTGATGTTCATCATATTTTTTTAGGGCGGTCGGGTAGCCTAGTGGTTAAAGCGTTAGCTCGTCACGCCGAAGACCCGGGTTCGATTCCCGACATGGGTACAATGTGTGAAGCCCATTTCTGGTGTCCCCCGCCGTGATATTGCTGGAATATGGCTAAAAGCGGCGTAAAACCACACTCACTCACTTACTCACTCATCTTTTTTGAACCACTTCAAGTAGACACAAGCTACATTACCTTCTTCTGCTTCGTTTCAGGTTGTCCTTGTGACAACAGCAACTAACAAGATTGTGTCCAACCCTCTGCCATTCGCGGTAAGGGTCGACCACCCGTCAGACGAGGGCCGCCCTCACGGTGCGGCGTTATTTGCAGGTGTCCTCGTCCTCGTCATCATCCTCATCGCCCTCCTCATCCCCATCACCGTCTGTGTTAAACGCAGAAGAAAGGCCGGCAAACCTGTATGCACGTGCGGAAGCCCGGATGTCGAAAAGGACGAGCGCAAAGGCCACGTGAATAATGGTTACGTCACCGACACACGTGACAGCAGAACTGATTCGACTGGTTCATCAAATGACCTAAATCAGACGATAGGAAGTCACCAACTTAGAAGTGTCGCGAAATTGAACTTTGAGCCAACGTGGCTAGATCCTCATTATAAAGAACTGCAAGAGATTCCAGGAACCAGTGCCCAACCGGATCCCCCTAGCGGGACAGCAGACATCAGGCTGTAGTAGCTTGCCAAGAATACATGTTTTGGCATCTGTTGCCTGAACGAAACTGGATGTTCGTGGATGCAATGATCATCGGCATACAAAGAAATCACATTGCTCATATTTGATAAGATAAAATTAGTGTTTCAACGACAGGAAGTGAGCAGCAAATGTTGTGAAGCAGATGAAAAATGAACATAATCAGAAATACACCGCAAAGGAGCACCAATTATTTTAAAGGGGGAAGGGATTCAGACAACACAAGACACGAAGTAAAGTACACACACGATATAGTGACTGACGTGGCGATCGCTGCACCTCCCCTTAATCCGCCATGCCCGATCTTGATCTGCCAGTGTCAGTGAATATCGTGTAGCGCTAGCTACATGCGTCACTGTTCTTTTTGAGTCTGTAATTTTAGTCGACTAAGTGCAACGTCCGTGAATTTGAAACATTTTAAAAGTAATGAATTGTATTCGAAGATGCACACGTCATTGCATACTGTAGTGTCCAGAGTGGTTATCTGACAAGTTCTAACGGAAAAGCAAACACGTGGGTGGAAGAGTTGTGCGTGGTGGAGGAGTTGTGCGCGGTGGAGGAGTTGTGCGCGGTGGAGGAGTTGTGCGCCACCTTGGACAGACACGTGACAGTAAGACAACCCGTATGGACGTTTTCCACTGTGGCGAAACCTATGAGCACGAGTATAATGCATTAAAAACAAGAATAAACCAATTTCAGGGCAAATCTCGGTAATCGGATACTGTCACCAGCAAGGGACAGAACTCGTCACGGCGATTAGCGGGGCTATTAACTAGGCGACTCCAATGTGCCCCTGTGTTTGTGTGACAGTTCAATTTTGGTTTCAATTACTCCCCACTGATTTGACATGGGAAAACTTGTGTCATTTGTGATATAGGACTGTCAGATGTTTAGTTCACCGTTTTGGGTTTGTCTCATTTTTGTAGTGAAACCCAGGAGTACACGGAGGCGCAGTGGTTAAACCCGGGTAACCGGAAGTACATCCGCAAGTCCATCAAGACACAACCGTGAAGTCCATATATCCGGAAGTAGGTCGAGGCACGACGCTGAAGGCCAGATATTGATGCACAGCTTTAAGGTCATTCGTCACCACTCGCCCCTTTCCGTGACCTGCAAGAAGACTCGTCCCCCTATCGATGAATGTTATGTGCGAAAATACGACAAACCAATCAGAATGCGCGTATGATTTCAAGTTCTTCGTCAAAGAATCCCTCAGAAATAATTTTTGATTTTACATATGTCTTGCATCTAAAAATATACCAAAGACACAGTTAAATGTGTTCAATCATACTGCATACTTCCGCACGTCCCGATGTGCTCTAAGTTGCATCTGAAAATATATAATATATGGGGAAATAAATGTGAACCATTACGCAACGAGTTGACAATTGTTTTAATTACATGTATGCCCGTTTGCGCTAAGACGGAACCCGGTCGCTAACATGGCCACGAGATGGGCACGAGTCGCTATTCGGCTTGTCCCGGAATAACACGAGTTGGTCACGAATGCTTGAAGGTGTGTGTTACCGGAAGTACAACGAGACACAGCGGTGAAGCCTGGGTGGCTGGGTACCCGGAGGTACATCGAAGCACAGCGTTAAGGGCCAGATAACCGGCGGAAGTTCAGAAGCGCCCCCACAAAGACGGGACAGAGTAGCTCCATTAGTTCACTTGTCAGAGACTGTGAAATCTTGAAACGGCTAGCATTTATCTCCCGAATTGAAGTTTTATGCACTGGTCGGAAGCGAACCGTTGACAAGTTACAACTCGTGGCGTCTTCGCTGGTATACAGGGGATGAAAAGGACAAATAGAGAATCTCACCCGAGTGTCTTTTGATATCAAATATCAACACGAGTTGATAAAAGTGGAAAAATTCCGAGGCTTGCCGAGGATTTTTGACACTTTTATCAACGAGTGTTGATATATTTGATATCAAAAGACACGAGGGTAAGATTTTATTTATCATCCAACATCATTCTTCCAAGTTTTTCAATTTGTAGACCGTAATTAGCAGTGTCTTCAGTGTAAAAAGTACTGCTAACAGCTTCAGTTGCAGAGCCATTAGTGATGTCATTTGATTGTGACGTCATGGTAACCAGTGACGTCACAATGGTCTGCAAAGCATTGTGATGTAATTTCATTGCAGCGATATCTACAGTGTAGATATCGCTTGATCTAATCCAAGCGATATCTCCTGTGGGAGCCAGTTTTGGATGATAAGTTACCATACATACCTCTTGTCAAAAATATGTACATGTACACGCCTTTTAAACACGTGTAACATGTAACACGCCTCCCATGTGTTGTTTCTTTATTTTCGAATTTATTTTGCGTGAACCGTGTACAGGACAATTAGGGCTGGACTCTCTGTGTCAGGTAACGTTCTGGTAAAGTTTGTACTCGCGTTTGGACAAATAACATTTTCAAGTGTATCCTTTCTTTTGCCCTTTGGGATATTTATTTTATGAAATGGCATATCACGCAGGAAACACGTTTGAATTCCAATAAACCTAATCAATAATAATTTGTTCAGTAGATTCAGACAGAGAAATCAAGATATTTTCCATCAATGCATACTCATGTTTGCTCCGAATTATTTTGACTGATTATGCGTTTTTGCTCTAAATTAGACTAGGCGGTCCGGGTCAGAAAAGGTCTTCAGCAACCCATGCTTGCCGTAAAAGGCGACTATGTTTGTCGTAAGAAGCGACTGACGGGATCGGATGGTCAGGCTCGCTGACTTGGTTGATGCATGTCATCGTATCCCAATTCGTAGATCCATGCTCATGAGATCAATCACATGACTGTCTGGTCCAGACTCGATTATTTACAGACGGCCGTCATATAGCTGGAATATTGCTGAGTGCAGCGTTAAACAACAAATAAACAAACATACATAACCGGATCGGGGGTCAGGCTCGCATAACTTGGTTGACACATGTTATAATTTCCCAAATGAGCGAATAGAGGCTCATGGTATCAATCACTGAATTGCCTGGTCATAGAGCGTTAAACAAAAAAAAAAGAAACAAACGAAATGTGCGAAGTTCTCTGAGCACCCTGAACAGTGTCATCAAAGAATTTCAGATCTTTGCACAGGGACAATAGAGTCTGACAAAGGTTATCTCCCTTAGACCGGCCGGTAAATGAAATTGACCCAAACGAGAAGCGTGCTTAAGCTTGTCTCTCGTGCAGATACGACAATTTATATTAAATAAAACTATCGCCTCCATTCATTGTCATCCCCTTTTCAGCCTTTACCCTTTTATATATATGTATCACGTTGGGACTCTGGGTAAGTGGACCGCCTCCTTGGTCTAGTGGTAGAGCGTCCGCCCGGAGAGCGGGTCCGGGGTTCGATCCCCGACCGCGTCATAGCAAAAGACGTTAAAAGATGGTACTTGTTGTTACCCTGTTTGGCGCTCGGCATTAAGGGGCTAAAACAAGGACTGGTCGGCTCGGAGTCAGTATACTGTGTCTGAGTGGGGTATTCATGTTAAACTGCGGCATGGTATCTCAGTGAGCTAGCACTATAAATCGGCATCAGTCCGGACTAGTACAAGCAGCCACACACACACACGTGCATGCACGTCGCTATATAAGTGCAATAATCTTTGACGCGGCGTTAAACCCCATTTCACCTCACCTCACCTCTGGGTAAGTGGATTACCAGCAACCTATGCTTGTTGTATGAGGCGACTTACTGAATCGGGTGGTCAGGTTGAGTGTTTCGGTTTGTTGCATGTCATGTCCTAATTCCATGGGTTGATTGATGTTCATGATGTCAATCACTGGATTGTCCGATCCAGACTCGAATATTTACAGACTGTCGTCGTATAGCTGAAATATTGCTGAGTGCTTCTTTAAACATGAAAAGACAAATATGTTTATTAAACCTTTATTTTGGAGACTACATGTTATTCCAGAAGCGTTTGGGCGAAAAGGTGAATGATTTTATTGATATATTAACAGCTCTCCTCTTGTTCATCATAGGCAATGTATCTCAAAGCAATTTGAGATCAACACATTCACGGGAAATGTATTTGCCTGTACATATTTCAAATATAAAATTAACCAAAGGAGCTACATAATTCAGTTTTCTTCTAAATTAAAAAAAGTTTAGACCTTTCGCCGGTAATTCCGACCCGTCCGTCCTAATATAGGGGGCGGTCGGGTAGGTTAGTGGTTAAAGCGTTCGCTCGTCACGCAGAAGACCCGGGTTCAATTCCCGACATGGGTACAATGGGTGAAGCCCATTTCTGGTGTCCCCCACAGTGATATTGCTGGAATATTGCTAAAAGCGGCGTTAAACCATACTCACTTACTCATTAATATCCTATAGCGCGAGTCCCTCTGGTAACGTCTTAATGTACAATAAAGTCTCGTTTGTCCGGACCCCGGTAATACCGACCCGTCAGTCCAGTTCATCGCCAAAGGTAAATTATTCCATACCCATGGCTCGTTCCATACATTTCCTGCTTAATGAGGTTATCGTAATAAAGGACATTGCTCCACACATGGTTGTTTAATTTTTACAATTGTCAATCCGGACTATTGTACTTGCGACCGTTGTGTGGAACTCATTAGTGATGGACTGTACTGACCAAGACTTATCCCAATAGTGTAGCCAATATGTCTGAAGTATACCATCGATTCCTTCATATTACTATAGACCCGTGAAGGTCCGGGGTAGAATGGGTCTTCAGCAACCCATGCTTGTCGTAAAAGGCGACTAACGGGATCGGGTGGTCAGGCTCGCTGACTTGGTTGATGCATGTCATCGATCCCAATTGCGTGGATCGATGCTCATGATAACAATCACTGGATTGTCTGATCCAGACTTGATTATTTACAGACCGCCGTCATATAGCTGGAATATTGCTGAGTGCGGCGTTAAACAACAAACCAACCAACCAAATCATATTACTATAGACCGCCTCAGTGGTCTTGTGGTAGAGCGTCCGCCCCGAGAGCGAAAGATCCGGCGTTCGATCCCCGGCTGCGTCATACCAAAATACGTTAAAAGATGGTACTTTTTGTTACCATGTCTGGCGCTCAGCATTAAGGGGTTAAAACAAGGACTGGTCGGCTAGCACTATAAATCAGTCCGGACTAGTACAAGCAGCCACACACTCACTAACGTACATACACATCGCTCTATAAGTGCAATAATCGACGTTGAACCAAATTTCACCTCACCTCACATCATATTACTATGGTAAATCTGTCATGCCATGGTCGGGTGGTCCTTTACCTTAGTAGTATATTAAACATCGATCAGGTATGCGGTAATATAACAGTTGAATATTGACGGCAGTCATCCGTGCGTTTCATATCTTATGTGGGGGCACGGGTGGCCCAGTCGTCTAAGGCGCCGCGATTCGCTGTGCAGAGTTGCGTCCCTTGGGCACGCCAGAAACCTATGATTGTGGGTCCCGGTTCGCCCCAATTATGTTTCTAGGTTTGTCAGCACCATACCCGTGCTCGTGGGTTTCACCGAGGTGGTAAACGTCTGAGACTTGCATCACTTCGGCCTTTCCTCCCACATTAAGCTGACACGCCGTGATATAACTGGAATACTGTTAAAAGCGGCGTTAAACCCAACTCACTCACTCACTCACTCACTCACTCACTCACTCACCCACCCACCCACCCACCCACT